GACCTGAGTGATGGTGACACGAGTGTCCAATTCACAGTAATTCAGTAGGCTGTATTTGTATGATTGATTTAAGCACACTTTTCTATATTTGTGTTATATTTCACAATAAATGTTAAAATAATTGAACTTAAAAGATAAACCTATATGACTAATAAAGTATACGATACATTTTGCTCGGGTGTGTTTCATGGATTTCTTATCATTTTATCCTCTGGGAAGCCCCTGTGAGTTAGAGAGGTGGAGAGGGCAGGCATCCTCCTCCTCATTTTAAGACTGGGACCCTGGAGCTCTAGGAGTTCACTGCCTTGCCTTCATCCTTGTAGTCAGTGGGCAAGCTAGGACTCTCACCCTTCTCTGGTATCTTCGAGTGTCCAGCTCTCCTAGCCCCCACCTCATCTTTCAGACATACTCTGGGCATAGAATATACTCCAGAGTAGGGGTGCCTGGGTGGCTTAGCCGGTTAAGTATCTGACTCTTAATTTTAGCTCAGGTCATGATCTTAGGGTGGTGAGATGGATCCCTATGTCACGCTCCATGCTGAGTGTGGAATGTGCTTAAGATTCTCTCTCCCTCTCTCTCTGCCTCCCTCCAACTCGTGTCTTGATTGCTGTTTTTCTCTCTATAAAATAAAAAAAAAGGGCGGAGTGGCTCCTGGGTGGCTCCTGAGTGTCCGACTCTTGATTTAGGCTCAGGGCATGATCTCACCATTCCTGAGATCTAGTCCCACATCAGTCGGGCTCCATGCTGTCAATGTGGAGCCTGCTTGGGATTCTGTCTCTCTCTGCCCCTTCCCCGCTCATGTTCTCGCTCTCAAAATAAATAAATAAACATAAAACAATATATTGCAGAGCAGCTGTGAAGTCTGAGTGAATTTTCTCAGAAATCAGAACCTCACCTGTCACTATGTTCCACCGCCATCTTGTGCTTGCTCTGGGAATCAGTCTTGGCCTCCCTGACCACGTTAAACCAGGCCCTGAACATCTTCTTCTGAAGAAAATGTACACACAGTTTTCGTATGTCTTCCTCCAGTTCGGTCATGTACTAGGGATGAGGACAGGAATAACAGTGAGACAAATAATATCATAAAGAATTGGAACAAATAAGCAGTACAAAAGAGAATTGAAGCAAACACAAAACAAAGGAAGAAAGGACACTGGAGGCAGAAGGAGAAAAAGACAACATGGCAGCCAAGATAACATCCTCTGCAATGTATTAAACAATAATGGAACCAGAGGTGTAGAAACAATTATAAGCCTGGGACGGGGGTAGGGTTCTAGTAAAATCACTTGAGCAATTATGGGACAAGAAACCAGAAATGAGTATAAAAACAAAAGCTGATGTAATGATACATTACACTTTATAAACAGCTTATGAAACTGTGAAATGTTTTATACTAAGAATTGATTTGACATTTTCATATTCATTTCAAAGCAAGGAACTGAATTGACTATTCTATATTCTTGAAAAAACAATGATTATGGACATCTGGATTGCATCTGATTTTCTTACATGGGACTGAGCAGGGACATGTATTTAAAGCTTCCTTCCCTGTGGCCTTACCTGTAGCCAGCTCCGGATAACTCTCCTAAGCAATATCTGGCAATAAAATTGATCAGCCCAGGCTGTCTTCCTAGCCAGGCTTTCCTGACTATACTGGAGCCAAGACAACAGGCATTTCCTCTGTAGAGCCAAAGAGTGATGTTCTTCTGCCACCTGGAGAAGTTTTTAAATGAGAAAAGGAAATTATTCCTTATATGGTTAATCATTTAAGAAAGCACAAATCACCTTAGCAAACGATGCTATAAAATACATGTAGGTAGTTGTAGAGGTAAGAATACTAAGGACATTCAGACTAAGAGCTTTGACTACTGACCCTTTTTTATGGGGGTTTTAGATTCACATCATGTATAGCCTTTCAGCGATGACTCCCTAAAGACCACAGTGACTGGCTGGTTATTAGGGAAATGGAATGAACCTCCAAAGCCATATTTCACTTGCACCGAGTTTTGAAGTGAGTAGCTGACATTCTCAGTTTGTTCTCCTGGAGCTTAGACAGCAACTCCATAATAAACTTCTCTAGTATGTACTTAACCACCATCTAACTGAAGAAATGCCAATACTTTCAATTAGTTTTATAGTATGAGCTGTCACCAGAATTGAAATTTAGACATTATCAATAAACCACAAAAACATTTGATAGGAAAATAACATGATGAATAATTTAATGTCTTACCAACTTAAAAGGTTCAGAGCATCATTCTATCAAAACAAACATGTAACTCAGAGTTTATGGGTTTTAAAAGGTAACTGTTACATTCTTTTAAGAGGCAGGAGGGGAAAATCCTTCTCTCTCAATCCTGTCCAGACAATTAGAAATTTTCCCAAGCCTTGTCTAGCTATCCAGCACTGTGAATGATCCAAGCGAATCTCCTGACAGTCATATTTCTTGGTCAAAATAACCATCCAGGAGGCCATTGTGGCCCTTGAGACCACTGCCTGTCCTCACTCATCCTGGCCTGGGAGCCGAAAGGCAAGGGGAGCCTCCTATTCTCCCTGATTTTTATTCTCTGGGAAAACAGAGAACCAAGAAGAAAAAGATTATCAGAAAATCCCATGGAAATTCTGAAAATGGATGTTGGAATAAATAGCATATAGCATATATGAGTTTAAGGGAAAAGCTGAATAACCCTTCTGAAAACATGTTACAAACAAGCCAGGAACTGTTGAACTGGACCTTTCTTTTTTCTATCTCTTCTGGAAGCCAACTCTGATGGGTAAAGAAGCAACCCCTTCCTTTTACTGTCCTCCAGAACTTTTTCTTTTACTTCATTTTACTTTTTAAGTTTCAACTGGTGGTTGTTGTCTACACAAATACTCTGATTCTTACACAGTTCAAAGGAATGCCAGATCTGGGCAGGGTTTCTGGCAGAAACGGGTGCCACACTTTAGCTTTGTAACCAATGTGCTGTGTAACTTAGAGCACGTCCGCTCTCCTAAGGCTCAGTTGTCTTATTACATATTAAAAGAGATGGGGGCGCCTGGGTGGCGCAGTCGGTTAAGCGTCCGACTTCAGCCAGGTCACGATCTCGAGGTCCGGGAGTTCGAGCCCCGCATCGGGCTCTGGGCTGATGGCTCGGAGCCTGGAGCCTGTTTCCGATTCTGTGTCTCCCTCTCTCTCTGCCCCTCCCCCGTTCGTGCTCTGTCTCTCTCTGTCCCACAAATAAATAAACGTTGAAAAAAATTAAAAAAAAAAAAAAAAGAGATGGAGAGGACTGCTAATGTTCTAAAATTCTACTGTCTTGTTGTGATAGACTGAATAATGGCCCCTCAGGGACAGTCATGGCCTGATTCCTGGAAATATGTTACCTTACATTGTAAAAGGGATTTTGCAAATGTGATTAAGTGAAGAATCTTAAAATGTGATTAAGTGAAGGATCTTAAATGAGATTATCCTGGATTATGTGGGAGAGCCCTAAATGTAATTCTAAGTATCCTTGTCAGAGAGAGGTTGGGGGGGTGGTCAGTATCAGGACATGTGAAATGAAAGCAAGAGAGAAGAGTGATTTGAGGAGGGGGCAGTAGAATGCAGGTGGCCGCTAGAAGGTGAAAAAGGCAAGGAAACAGATACCCCCTTGGAACCACCAGAAGGAACGTGCCTTTGCCCCGCAAGTCTGATTTTAAGATAATAAATATGGGTTGTTTTAAGCCACTAAAGTTGTGGTAATTTGTTGTACCAACAATAGGAAGCTAATACTCTCGTCATAAGCTGCAGAGGTGATTCCTAAAATGTGGTGCTCAGACCACTCAGAATTTCCTGGGCTACTTTTAAAAAATGCAGATTCCCTGACACATATACCAGCCCACAACTCAGTCCTACTGAGAATACCTGGAGGGGGCACCAGGGAATGTTCATTTTTAGAAGTTCTCCAGATGAAAAGAAAAACAGGTTTTATGAACAGAAAAGTTTGGAAATACTGGTTTCAGAACTGTTTTCCTATTTTTATTTTAATTGGGCTTTTCTATTTTATTTTTTAATTATTTATTTTTAAATTTATATCCAAGTTAGTTAGCATATAGTGCAACAATGATTTCAGGAGTAGATTCCTTAATGCCCCTTATCCATTTAGCCCATCCCCCCTCCCACAACCCCTCCAGAAACCCTCTGTTTGTTCTCCATATTTAAGAGTCTCTTATGTTTTTTCCTCTTGTTTTTATATTATTCATTTATTATCACTATTATTTTTAATAATCTATTTAGGGATTTTCTATTTTTAAAGCCTATAATTGTCCTTTTGGACTCAAACTCCTATTTTTACATTCTAATACATTAAAAAAAATTAATTTGGGGGCACCTAGGTGGCTCAGTTGGTTAAGCATCCAACTTCCACTCAGGTTATGATCTCACAGTTTATGAGTTTGGGGCTTTGTGCTGACAGCTCAGAGCTTGGAACCTGCTTCAGATTCTGAGTCTCCCTATCTCTCTCTCTGCCCTTCCCCTATTTGTGCTCTCTCTCTCAAAAATAATAAACTTCTTTTTAAAGTTTATTTATTAATTTTGAGAGAGAGAGACAGTGCAAGTGGAGGAGGGGCAGAGAGGGAGTGAGAGAGAATCCCAAGCAGGCTCTACACTGGCAGCACAGAGCCTGACATGGGGCTTGACCTCATGAAACTGAGATCATGACCTGAGCTGAAACTAAGAGTCAGATGCTTAACCAACTGAGCCACCCAGGCACCCCAATAAATAAACTTAAAAAATTTTTTTTTCATTTGGTTATTCACCCATAGATTCAATTTCATTTCAAAATCTTATACCTTATGTTTAAATTTTTTTTTTTAATTTTAATGCCTATTTTTGAGAGAGAGAGAGAGAGAGAGAGACAGAGCATGAGCAGGGCAGGAACGAGAGAGAGAGAGGGAGACACAGAATCTGAAGCAGGGCTCCAGGCTCTGAGCTGTCAGCACAGAGACTGATGCAGGGCTCAAACCCACAGACTGTGAGATCATGACCTGAGCTGAAGTCAGACGCTTAACTGAGCCACCCAGGAGCCTCCAAGATGTTATACCTTTTTTGGTTTAGTTTAGTAAAAAATTAGGACAAAAGAAGAGCTTATAAAAATATGAGTGAGTCTTTCCACTCCCTGTCTACTTTTTCTTTGTGTATTAATAATTGAAAATCTCCCCAAAATATACAAAAGCCAGGTAAAACAAAACTAGAAATTCAATTGGATAGCAAACTATCAGATATAACCAACTTATCATTTGGTAGTATATTGCAAGAAGCAAATTTCAATTCAAATTTCAAATTTCATTTCCAGATTCATTCATTCAGAAGACCAGGGAGTCAGCCCTCCTATCTCATTACAAGAAAAAGCCAAAGCAAAAAGCAATGGCTTAGGGCACAGATGGATCCTCTTGCCCTCAGGCCTGATCACCACAAACTGACTTCATCAGCAGGTCTGGAATACTCAACAGTTCCAGAACCACTGGTAAGGAGGCTGAGTGCAAAAAATCAGGGACAGAGAAAAGACAGTGGGAAGGACATTTTGGGAAGGTAGAAAGAAAGTGTGAAAGACAGGAAGAGAACAAAGAGAATGAAGAATGAATAGATTAGGTAGGGAGGAAAAAAACTGCCTAAGTCATGTGCACAGAGGTATAACCTACAGCATTACTCAATTCTGTGGGACTCTTATTATATTTGGTTTTCATAATCAAAAATGCTAGTTTTACTTTTCAGTATTAACCTGGCCAAATGTGTAAGTAAAAGTGGTCATAACTAGTATAGATTACTGTGCTTATTAGACAGCATTTTGAAAATAACATTTTATCCATTTTGAGCTTCTGATCATTTAGTTTAGAATGTCCTGCCCTATGTAGTGGGTAAATTTGAAGTTTAATGTTATTTGATTTTATGTATTTCTGTGTGGCAGAGTAGATTATTGTCCCTATAATAGGATTATACACCCATACTTTTTGTGTGTCATATCATAGTGCCTCCCAATGAAGTAGGAAACTTTTTCTCCCATAATGATCTTGAGTTTGGCTCTGGTACTTACTTTGGCCAATCAAATGTTAGTGGATGTGATACAAGCAGAGGCTTTGTATTGGTGTACATATTTGGGTTTAGTCTTGGTACCTCAGACATCTACCAGGTAAAAGCATGGCCTAAATTACTGCTGAAGCCAGAAAGAGGCTTTGGAGAGATCTGAATGTAATCGACAACTGGGCCACAGACATGTGAGTAAGAAATAAGCCACTGATTATTGAGGGCTGTTTGTTATGCAGTTTTATTGAAGTAGAAACCTGACTAATATTCCTTATGGTAGTCATTTTCTCTTTATTAAAAACATGGCTAAAATTGAGAAAGGCCTCTCTTTATCTTACTTTGAAAGTCTTTAATAAAAAAACATTTACTAATTTTGGGGCAGCTGGGTGGCTCAGTTGAGTGCCTAACTCTTGATTTTGGCTCAGGTCCGATCCCGGGGTTGTGGGATCGAGCTCTGCTTTGGGTTCTATGCTGAGCATGAAGCCTGCTTGGGATGCATGCATGCATTCATTCATTCATTCATTCTCTCTCTCTCTCCCTCCCCCCCACTCCCTCTCTAAAACTAAAAACAAAACAAAACAAACCTCACTTTGTTTCCAACTTACCTAATTACAGAAATCTTCCTCCATCTTTGATGACCAAATCTGAGCTCTTATCCCAAATAAAGAAATACATATACTCAAATAGTAGGTCTGGAATAATATTTCTGGCTTTTAAACACCAAACAAACAACCATCAAATCCTAATTGGGGGTTTATTCTATTTGAAAATTCTATTTATTCATTTTGTAATTTTGGGAGGAAGTTCGTGACACTATACCTGAATGTTTTGCTTGCTTTGCATTCTCAATCTTTTCCAAGGCTCCATGCCTTTTTTTCTTAGCAACACTCTTTCATAATGTTCTTTAGCTGCTGCTTCCAGCTGTTGGTTCCTCTTAATTCTCTTCTGCTTCTCTAGTTCTTTCTGGGAAAAATTAAAAAGTAAAACTGCTGAGGAAGGACCAAGATGGTGACCTAGGAGGTCCTGGACTTCCCTCTTCCCTTGGATGCACTCAGTGTATAGCCACAGATGGAGCATTTCCCTCTAAAAGAAGTCCAGAAACTAGCTGAGCGACTTCCATATCCGGTGAATGAGAGAATACCCACATCAAAGTGGGTAGGAAAGGCTGAAACACATTCTTGACTGAACCCCATCCCTGGCACTGCACCATACAACAGGAAGGGAACTCCCAACTCCGAACTTCTCTCTGAGGAATGAAGGGTTTGGACTGCACATCTAGTATTTCAACTTTTAAAACAACCAACCCAAAGGAAAGGCCCCTAAAACAACTGGCTCTGAAAGCCGGTGGAGCCTGTGTCCATGAGATACACAAAACCAAGAAATGGTTCTTAATGGATGTGTGAGCACTCCCTACAGCCATCCCTGTGGGGCTCAGCCCTGAGAGAGCAGGCAAAAGTGCCCATCTCCCAGTATTTCCATGAAAGAGTTTGATGGCATACTTTATAAGTTAATTCCTGAGGGTCCAGTTTCTAATTTAGCACACATTCAGGGGTTGGCTATAGTCTTCCCCAGAGACTGAAGTTGTCTGATGGGGCCTTCCCCTGTCCTCTCCCTCTAACTCACTCCAGTGATAAAACAAGACCACCAGCATCTCTCTGGAAGGAGTGTGGATACAATCTGGTTACCCAACATTTATGACAACCACCTGAGGGATGGGACCCTGGTTTGCCTGGCTTGAAAGCCAATGGAGCTTATATTCACAGGTCCTATAGGACTGTAACAAAGAAGCAGTTTTTAAATGGGTTTAGAAGCATCCCTCTCCCCCTGTGGCTACACACCTGGGCTCAGTGCAGAGGGAGCAGGCAAAGACACATCTCATAGTTTCTCTCAAAGGGGCTTAGTTACCTACATTTCCAGCTGCTGCCTGAGGGTACAGTTTTTAATCAGCTTGCATCCAGGTGCTGATTGAGATTCTCCCCTTTGGAACACTGACAGGTCTTGGTACAGGCTCAACTATTGGGAACTAAGAACAAAGGCAGCAGACTGAATGATCACAGAGGTCTGAGAGACAACCAAGAACCTGGGCCAAGCTGACAAGGTTCATCTCCTACATAAGACCACTCTGTTAAGACTAGGAGAGGTGGCTGCTTTATCTAATGTGCAGAGACCAAGAGCGTCAAGAAAAATAGAGAAACGGGAATATCTTTCAAACAAAGGAACAAGATGAATCTCCAGAAAGCAATCTTAATGAAATAAGTGACTTGCCTAATAGACAGTTCAAAACAGTGGTTGTACAGATTCTTACTGAGGTCAGGAGAGCAATGCATGAGGAAAGACAGAATTTCTCCAAGAGATACAAAATATATTTAAAGAACAACCCCAAACATAAATCATACGGCTGAAGAATACAATCACTGAACTGAAAAAATTCAACAGAGGGGTTCAATAGTAGACTATATCAGGCAGAAAAAAGGATCAGCCAACATAAAGACAGAGCAAAGAATCGCTTAAGGCACTAATGGTACACCATCACAGGTACAAATATTTCCATTATACAGGTTTGAGAAGAAAGGAGCAGAAAGCTTATTGAAAGAAATACTGGCTGAAAACTTCCCTCACCTGGGGAGATAAACAGACATACACATCCAGGAAGCCCAAAGAATACCAAACAAAATGAATCTAAAGAGACACACACACCAAAACACATAATTAAATTGTCAGAAGTTAAAAGACAAGGAGAGAATCTTAAAAGCATCAAGAGAAGAACAACTTGTTACATATAAGAGCACTCCCATAAGACAGTCAGCCAGTTTTTCAGCCAGAAATCTAGCAGGCCAGAGATAGTGGGATGATGTATTCAAAGTGTGAAAGAAAAAAACTGCCAAACAAGAATCCTCTACCTGGCAAAGGTGTCCTTCAGCATTGACGGAGAGATAAAAGAGTTTTACAAACAAAAGCTGAAAGAGTTCATTAGCAATAGCCCAGCCTTACAAGAAGTGTTAAAGGGACTTTTTCAAGTTGAAGTGAAGGACGCTAATTAGTAACATGAAAACATATTAAATTATAAAACAATAAAATTTACTGGTAAAGGTGTGTGTGTGTGTGTGTGTGTGTGTGTGTGGTTTAATCCAGAATACTCTAATATTGTAATTGTGGTGGGTGAATCACTTATAACTCCAGTATAAAGGTCAGAAGACAAAAGTATTAAAAATAACTATAGTGATAATTTGTTAATGGATACTCACTATTAAGAATTGTAAATTGTGACATCAACACAAACTGGGAGCGAGAGTATAAAAATGTAGAAGTTTGTATACAAACTTATCAGCTTAAAACAGACGATTATAACTATAAGATGTTTTAAGTCAGCCTTATAACCAAAAAGCATAAACCTATAGTAAGTACACAAAAAAAGATAGAGAAAGGAATCAAAGCATTCCACTACAGAGGATCATTAAATTACAAAAGAAGAAAGCAAGAGAGGAAGAAAGGAATAAAGGAACTACAAAACTACAATAAACAATATGGCAAGAGTAAGTCCACACCTATCATTTACTTTATTTATTTTTTTAAGTTTATTTATTTTGAGAGCGCATGAGCAGGGGAGGGGCAGAGAGAGAATCCCAAGCAGGCTCCACACTGTCAGTGCAGAGCCCGATGTGGGGCTTGAACTCACGAACCGTGAGATCATGACCTGAGCTGAAGTTGGATGCTTAAGTGACTGAGCCACCCACCCGGGTGCCCCTTATCAATTACCTTAAAATGAACACAGACTGCAGTGCCTGGGTGGCTCAGTTAAGCATCTGACTCTTAATTTCAGTTCAGGTCATGATCTCAGGGTTATGAGATTGAGCCCTGTGTCAGGCTCTGTGCTGGGCGTAGAGCCTGCTTAAGATTCTCTCTCTCTTTCTCGCTGCCCCTCCCCCACTTGCACTCTCTCTAAAACAAACAAACAAAAACCTAAATGCACACAGACTAAATTGTCCAATTAAAAGCCATACAGTGGCTGAATGGATTAAAAACACCCAGGACCCAACCATCTGCTGCCTGGGAGAGGCTCATTTCAGCTTTAAGGACACAGAGACTAACAGTAAAGGGATGGAAAAAAGATATTCCATGCAAATGCAAACCAAAGAGAGCAGGGGTAGTTATATCTACATCAGACATTAAGCCAAAATCTATAATAAAAGATAAAAAAGGTCATTATATCATGACAAAAGGGTCACTTCATTAGGAAGAATTATACCTCAGCAAAGCTGCAAAAAATAAGTAAAAATGCCATGACCCAAACACTAATGAATTTCAACAAATAACTAATTAATTTAATTTCAACATCTAACTACTAAACAGTGTGTAATCATGGTAACAGAACACTGGAGCATCATGGGAAACAATTCTACCAAGAGGGTGGGGAAAAGTTGGTCGTAAGTACTACACGAATGAATGCTGTACATATTCTTAGGTATATTCAGTATTGTTCACAGATGATTTGTATGTCACTAAGTTCCCCCAAAGTAAAACATCTAGTTAGAAGAGCAATCAATATTTTCCCCTCATTATTATGGGAAATGTAGCAATACAGTCCCTTCGTTTGGATTATGGGGTAGAGATTTATATGTAAATAATACCCTATTTAAATTTAAAGATACTCTATACTCCATTTAATGCCTACAATAATATTCTTACACTGGGATTTTTAAAAATGTCATGAACAAATAAGTCCAAAAAAGAGTTAAAAATATTTGATGATCATTAGGCAGCCCTCCCTTCTCTGAGGAGGAGAAAGCTTAACCATCTGTGGTGATGCACTGAGAAGACACCTCCGTTCTCTTCAAAGAAGAACTGCACCCCGAGAGGCTGAGTGAGGAAGATGACGGAAGCTTAATGGTTTACTGTAAAGGTATTAGGATTTCTTGTATTTCTCTTTTTAATAAAAATGAGCTATAATAAAAGTGAGAGAAAAAACTACCTTAAAAAGGTGAGTGGTAGCAACTGATACCCGTTACGAGAGTCACAAGAACAAAAGCAAAGACTTTACAGTAGTTGTCATCTATGTAGTGTAAATATAAAAATACTGAATTTAAGCTTCTTTTTCTACCCGGCCCCCCCCCCCCCACCTTCACTTGAGGAAAAGTGTGCTGAATTAGCTGATTCTGACAAGCTGCTTCATTGCTGAGTCTTATGCAAGAAAAAAAAAATGAGAGAAGCAAGTGGAACATTTCTGATACGGAAGGGAGATTTGTCCTGATCTTCCATTCCAAACTACCGGTTTCAGTACAAATTCCTCAAGATGAAATGTCCACATTCTCTAAATCACTAACATAAAATTATCTTTATAATCTTTATTCCAGACACTTGAGATATTGAACTGAATGGTCAGAAATAAAAATCATTTATAAGAATTTTCTTAATGAGTAACAAGGAGCAGCTAAGGGTTATGTGGGGAGGAAAACAGAAAAGTAGCCATTTTCACATCCACCGAAATGTCCCTGTAGCATTGAGATGGCAGTTGCAACTTACAGACAGTAATTCAACACAGACAATAAGCCTTTGGAGAAATCCTCAGTCTCACCAACCCTGTTCGCACACACACCTAAGTTATGGTGTAAATATTTTCCTAGAATTACAACTCTATGGCTGATGTTGTAGGTTCAAAAGAAAACCCATTTTTGGATGGAGCAGGGAAAATGAGTCTTTATTACTTTTTCTTTTCAAATTTTTGTTTAAATTCTAATTAGTTAACATACAGTGCAATATTGGCTTCAGGAGTAGAATTCAGTGATTCATCACTTACATACGACTCCCAGTGGTCATCAATAGCAAGTGCCCTCCTAATACCCATCACCCATGTAGCCCATCCCCTACCCACCTCCCTCCACCAACCCTCAGTTTGTTCTCTATTCTTAAGAGTCTCTTATGGTTTGTTTCTCCCTTTTTTCCTCCTCCCATGTGTTCATCTATTTTGTTAAATTCCACAAGAGTGAAATCATACAGTATTTGTCTTTCTTTGACTTATTTCGCTTAGCATAATACACCCTAGTTCCTTCCACATCGTTGCAAATTAAAATAGCCTTCTTTGAAGTTTACTTTTCCATGAAAAAAATAGAAAGAAGAACATTTAATAGAAAGCTGCTTGAGCCAAAATTCGGTTTCCACAGCAAATTATTTAAATACATATTTTACCTCTTGATTAAGGATTCCTCAAGAGTTCACTGTATTTCATTAATATTACCATATTTTCCATTTCCTGTATATAAAACAAAGGATTACATGAAATGATGGTGTCTGCTTTGAGATGGCACTTATATTGGGGTTTCATATAACATAGTTCACTCAGGCTAAGAAGGGATAAAAAATTAGGGCATCTTTCTGATTTAAATTATTCAACAAGTGATGTGCAAAAAATAAGACTAATCTGAACGTGTATATGTGCATGTGTGTATTTCTCCACCACTACTACTTTGAAAGACCAGGAATTACAGCAAGAATTAAGAAGACCTCAGGGCAGTCAACACCATTCCCAAACTCTCTGCCTTCTGTCCACTATAAGCCACCCTTTCATTGTGTTCTGGCACATATTCTGGAACATTTATATACTCCTGGATCATTCCCATCGCTATGCAACTATGTACCTGTAACTCCCATCTTTAGAAAATAAAATAAGGCAGAAAAAACAATCACCAGCCATGACAGAATCTTCTTTGATCCCATGTGACCCCTATTATACTCATAGTCATGAATGAGCTCCATCTTGCCAAATCAAAGAGTCTGTCCTTCTTTTAATTGAACTCAGCACTATTTAGTACAGTTAACTACCATCAACCCCTTTCCAGAAATGGTTTTTCTCTCAGCTTTTTTGACAAAAATTTCTTCTGGTTCTCTTTCTACTTCATTAGCTTCTCATCCTCAGTAATTATTTATACACTCTAGGACTTGGTCTTGGACCCTTATATTTCTTCTCCATCCAATCTCCCAAGCTGATTTCATCCATTCCCAGAGCATTAATAACATTGACATGTTTTTGACTTTCATGTTCCTTACTACAATCTTCATATCCAGGCTTATATATTCAGCTATTTGATACATTCAGTTGGATGTGTAATAGGTATCTCACATTTAACATGCCCCTACTGGACCTTGCAGAAGCCTCCTTAGCATCTTACAGCTCAAATATCACCTCCTCAGAGAAGCCTTTCCATCTTGCTTCCCTCATTCCCCCATTTTACCTCTCCCTCCCTACTTCTTTGTTACCTTGTTTACTTCCTATTCTCCCCAGGTAGCATATAATCTTTGCGAGGGCAGAAGTGTTGTCTGTCTTCTCCATTGCTCTCTTCTAATACCTAGAATGATGCCTAGCACATAGTAGAGGCTCTATAGATACTTGTTTAGTGAACAAATATGCTTGTTACACAATTATGGAAGACTTCAAATCTTGTTTGGTCTTCTCTGATAAATTTATCTTTTCAACCAAAAACTTCACCAACTGTCTATTAATCAAAAACATATTTATATATCCATAAAAGTTACTGCCTGATAAATATTACTAGAAAGTAAGCTTTTCAGAAAAATGGACAATGGGATGTTAACGTTTAGATTTTTTTCTTTTTTATAATTTTTTAAATGTGTGTATTTTTGAGAGACAGAGAGAGAGAGAGAGAGAGACAGAGAGAGAGAGAGAGAGAGAGAGAGAGAGAGAGCGTGAGCATGCATGAGCAGGGAAGGGGCAGAGAGAGAGACAGGGAGACACAGAATCCAAAGCAGTCTCCAGGCTCTGAGCTGTCAGCACAGAGCCCAATGTGGGGCTAGAACTCATGAGCTGTGAGATCATGTCCTGAGCTGAAGTTGGATGCCTAACTGAGCCACTCAGGCACCCCTAGATTTTTATTTTCAAAAGGTCACTGAATGAGACCCACAAGTGGCCATCATACTGCTACATCTGACAAGCTACCCTGTCAGGGACACAGAAACACTAAGCCACCATCACTTGGATCATCAATGAATGACCATGATGTCCCAGGTCATACTTCCTGCCATAGCTACAGTGGCCTCCTCTGAAGAATGCAGAATTTCTAGCACCAGCT